CTTCCCCCTCTCTTCCTCTCTCTCTCTCACTCACTCACTCTAACTTTCTTTCTTTCTTTCCCTCCCTGCCTCCCTCCTTTCTCTTTCCCTGCTCACATCCTCCCCCCCTTCCTCCCCTCCTTGCTTAGCTGCCTTTCATCCCACCTGTTGATCTTCAGGTTGGCATGGCAGTAGCCTCCCTGAACGATCGGTGGCCAGCTTTTCTCACGTCATCTCCAATTTTTTTTTTTTCCCCTTTTATCTCCCCCCCCCTAAAGTTTGTATTGTTTAGCCTTGTATATGTATAGCTGTGTGTGTGTGTGTGTGGGGGGGGTTAGGGGTGTGTATTGTAAAATAAGTCTAAGATGATATCTCTCTTGAAAGTACTCTTGTTTCTTTATTGCTATGTTCTTGCATCATCTTGGTTTGTATCTTTATTGTTGTGCTTAATTTCTTATTTGTATACATTTCCATGTGAGGTTGATTTAGTTCACAAGTCCAACAAAAAAACATTTTTTTTTCTTTCCAGATCTACCAACACCTGCGCTACTACAGCAACCCAGCGGAACAGCGATGGATTGTGCGGATATTGCTGTTCGTGCCTATCTACGCTTTCGACTCCTGGATTTCCCTCCTCTTCTTCAACAAGGACAACTACTACATCTACTTTGACACAATCAGGGACTGCTATGAAGGTACGCTGCATTGTGTATGTACATAGTACTATCCCGTCAAACCTTTTGTGCACTGTTTACCGGAACATTTGTAAAGCATTGTTCTCACCTCGTTTTCCGTCGCAGCATTTGTGATCTACAACTTCTTGAGTCTGTGCTACGAGTACCTTGGAGGAGAAGGCAACATTATGAGCGAGATCAGAGGGAAACCTATTAGGTGAGTACTATGTTGTTCTTATTCTCTTTCTCCTTTCTCCTTCTTTTCCCCTTCTCTCTCTCTCCTTTCTCTTTCTTTTCCCCTTCTCTCTCTTTCTCTCTCTTCTTCCTCCCCTTTCCTCCCTTTTCATCCTCCTCTTCTTTCTTTTCTCCCCTTTTCTCCTTCACACCTTCATCAGCATCATGATTTAAACACCTTATTTATTCTAAGACAAGTTGTGTGTATATACTGTGTGATGTTAATATTTGTTCAAAGAGCACACTCCTTTTGTGCAAATAATTACTGTGTATAGAGTTTGATTAGATTATCTTTTCTTGAATTCCTACAAAGAGCTTTAGTTTTGATTTACTTTTGTGAAATTCTGTCATACTGTCTCCTCATCAACAGATCGTCATGCATGTATGGCACATGCTGCTTAGCAGGGAAGACGTACACCATTGGGTTCCTTCGTTTCTGCAAGCAGGCAACCCTCCAGTTCTGCTTTGTAAAGCCGGTCATGGCTTTCATAACGATAATTCTGCAGTATTTTGGGAAGTACCAGGATGGTGACTGGAGGTAAGACACCTGTGAAAGTTTGTGAATGTGCTTGATTGTTCAGCTGATAGGCATTCATTTGATTCACATTCCCTTGGCTCCAAGTGACAGGTATTACTGTCGTGACAATCACGATATTCTCACCTGGTAGTAAGGGAGTATCTCCCTTGTGCCAGACAGAAGCGTACAGATCACCATGATATGATATGGGCTATCTGGTGTTAAGGGAATTTAGATGCCGCAGGGCAAGTTTAAAATTCACATTTTCTGTTGACAGTCCCGAAGGCGGATACCTGTACATCACCATCATCTACAATATCTCAGTGTCGCTTGCCCTGTACAGCCACTTGCTCTTCTATTTTGCCACGAGAGACCTCCTGCAGCCGTTTGAGCCCGTGCTCAAATTCTTCACTATCAAGTCCGTCATTTTTGTTTCATTCTGGCAGGGTAAGAGAAACTAGAAATTTCCTCATAGAAGTTCCTATGTGCAGATCATATGTGTTTTTACAGGAATGTGATGATACTCCTGAAATAAGTTGGCTGAGAATTTGTCACATTTGTTCATATGTAATGTAAATTTTTTTGCTTGTTCATATGAATAGTTAAGCACTGAAAATGTTTCCCAAGTGTTTAACTACCAGTAGTAAAAAGCCCAAATCTTAGTTTGAATAAAAAACGTTAAGTATCATTATATCAGCTAACTTACTTGCGAGATGTTACTCTTTGTTATAAGAAGAATTTTTTGAACCACTATAATATCTGATTCCCTTAATCTTTGCAAATATCTGCAGGTGTATTATTAGCTATCCTCGAAAAGGCAGAAGTTATCAAAGGAAACCCCAACCTAAACACGGGCACAGTCTCTGCTGGATACCAGAACTTCATTATCTGTGTAGAGATGTTTTTCGCCTCTGTTGCCCTGCGTTACGCCTTTCCTTACCAAATCTACGGAGATTTTACCGTTACTGGCACAGGTCGCACAGTCACCATGCAGAGCATTTCATCATCTCTCAAGGTAAGGATGCAAATATTATTCCTTAAGAGGCGTACACCAATACTGGAAGTGATATAGCATTTGTTAATATTGCTCAGATTATCATGATCATTACCATTGCTCACAAGATTCTTTTGTCTTTTATGTTATCACATACAAGACGTACACTTGCACAGATGCTGCACTCATGAGGCCCTTTACAGTCAGTAATAAATAGCATTAGAAATAAAAAAGAAAGTTAAAAGAATTTAAGGAATTGGGAAAGTAGCGGATGTCTTGTTGGGCCTAACGAATGACTACACAGTGGCTGAGCACATTTAAAGCCATCTGTGTGCAAAAAAAAGTTAATGAAATAAAACTACAGTGGACAGTACATATACCCACTGCCAGTGAATTGATATTGTTGTCATTTTTGTGAACTATCACTTTGCATATTAATATCCCATCTACCTTTCATTTCTGTTGCTACCAGATGAAGACATTTATATTAACCAGTGTACGATTTCCCCCTGCAGGAGACCATGAACCCCAAGGACATTATGACGGATGCTATCCACAATTTCCACCCGCAGTACCAGCAGTATACCCAGTACAGCGCAGGTATATCATGCCAACCTTTTGTTTCCTAGTGATGGTGCAGAAGTTATTGAAGTTATTATATTTAATAATTTATTTGTAAATATTTGTTAAATCCATAATTTTCTTAATATTATTTATTATCATTATCTTTTTTTATTTTCTTTCTTTCCTTTTCCTTTTTTTCATGGGATTTTATCAATTTAATGACATGGAGCCATATAGATGTTATTTCAATAAGGACTTAAAAGTTGTTTTTTAATGTATTTTGGGCTTATTTCAAACCTTTTTACATACTAAAGTTTATATGCTTATTATTCATGATTGCTCATTAATGAATTATTTCATTGCTCATTACCTTCTAAAAATATACTGACACTAGTTTGGAATGGTGGTGATGTAGGGACTGGAGCATCAACTAGATTTTAAGAGTCGAGGAGCGCTTTGATCTGGCATCCTCAGAGCAGAAAAACGTTTCCTCTCAGTCTATCTATCACAGGCCATTCCCAGACAATAGCACCTAGGGTTGGAGAGGGGCAGTTATTTATTTTATTTTTATTCTTTATTTGCTTATTTATTTCTCTGTTTTTATTTATTTATGATTATTATTATTTATTTATTTATTTTTTGTTGTTGTCTTTTTTCTTAATGTGTATGTATGTGTGTGTGCACGTATGCACGCACATGAGAATACATATACACGTAGGATGTGATATCCAAACTGCAATATTAGTTCCTGTGTCACTCTGCCTTACGTGTCTGCAGTCAGGGAATGGTCTTCAGTAGCCCCTACTAACAACAGCATCTTGTTTCCGAAACTTGTGCATGCGCTTTCCTCTTTTCCAATGGATGTTCAGGCATTAGTTGCTGCTGAGCCCACTGATCTCGATGTTAGACTGTCATGTGATCTTGTGTAAAAAATGGATTTTGTGAAATTGTTCTAAAGTTGGTAGGTTATTTTAACATGTTGAATGGAGTTAATGGATATGCAAATTATGCATTGCTTTGCTTCTCAGATTTTTTTTCCTTGTTGTTTCAGTAATTATTAAAAAAATATCTTGATCTTGTGAAGTCTGCCTATAAAATGGATAGAGATTACATTTTCCTCTATGGAACTTTAGTTTTTCCTTAATGATTTTCTTCCTATTAGAGTCAGTTGATGTATTGTAGGCCTTTTTGCAGATTATTCAAGATTTCCTTTACACAAGTTCAAAACATTGCTCTGTGTGAATTGAAATTTATATTAAAGTCCCTAGATAAAAATCTCTCTCTCTCTCTCTCTCTCTCTCTCTCTCTCTCTCTCTCTCTCTCTCTCTTCTCTCTCTCTCTCTCTTATCTTCTTCTCTTCTCTCTTCTCTCTATCTCTCTTTCGCTCCTTATTCTCTCTCTCTCTCTTCTTCTCTCTCTCTCTCCTCTCTCTCCTCTCCTCTCTCTTCTCTCCTTCTCTCTTCTCTCTCTCTCCTCTCTCTCTTCTCCTCTCTCCCTCTTCTCTCTCTCTCTCTCTCTCTCTTCTCTCTTCCTCCCCCTCCCTCCTTCCCTCCCTCCCCTCCTTCCTTCCCCTCTGTCTCTCTTCCTTCTCCCCTATTCTCCTTTGTGCTCTTTATGTATTTGTTTCTTTT